ATCTATCTTATCGAAAATTTCTTGCTCTTTCTAATGGTGTCTTTTAATAACAATTATACACTTTAATTTAACAACAATTATTAATTAAAGTTATACAGAATGGTCAGAAATGTGCGTCAAATTTCCGTATCTCAAAAGGGTTATTTTTTTAAATGGCAACTCTACTTGTTTCCCTCACCACCGTATTATATGCTGAAAAATCAGGAGACTTTGTGATTACATCCCATACTAGTAGAGTTACTAGTAAACATACTAGTAGACTTTAAATTTAGTTACTTTACTGTAGACTTTAAAATGCGCACACCCAATATCCGCATAAGATTTGAGGAAACCTTAACTGGAAAGACATGTTTAAATTTTTTAAAAACTTTGCCATTCCTTCCATCCCGCTAATTTCGACCCAACTCAATTCCAACGGCAGTTATTTCAACAAGATGGCGCGCCACCACACCTCAAGAAGCTACTAAATCAGTTTTTGACACTCAGGGAATTGTTTAAAATAATTATATAAATTTGAAGTAATTAAAGTTTAAACTAATTTTTCTCGAAAATTTTCTTATGTAACCAATATTAATATTGAATGTACTAAATTCAGAAAAAAATCTTCTTTTGTATTCCTTAATAAAAATGGGGGATTGCCATTTGAAAAAAATATCGATTGCGTCATAACTCGTTAAACCGTTTAACGTGTAAATTATTTTTTCGTTTTTAGAAACGATTTAGTTATGGTAATGCAACTATTTGACCTTATTGACAAGTGGTCTCTATAAAAGCCGCTAACCGTTAAAGGGTTAAAAATGAGGGAACAATTTTGAAATCTATACAAAAAAATTGCACAAAAGTTAAATCTTTAGACCGATTTCAGGGATTTTTCCATAAATCGTTTATAATGATTTTCACTCAGGTCGTCGTGACAGACTCTGTCACAAATGGGAGTTAACTAGAAACAGAAAAATCCACAACGTTAGTAGTTTTTGGCGCAAAACGTGTTTGTGCAAGCGCGTGATCGCCACGTGTTATACACCACTAGAAAGAGCAGAAAATTTTCAATAAGATAGATATGTTTCTATAGTTTTCTCCCTATCATATAAGAAAGTTGTTTAGAGGAAGAGTATTTAAGCGCTTCTGCGTGTAGGGATGGACATTAAGGGTGATTTAAGCATGACACCGATAGATATTGACCGACGAAAACCCGGATTAAGATAGCTGAAGGAGTGCCCTTTCTGACTGTGATAACAGTTTTTTAAAATTCGATTTCGTAACAATTGCACAAGGCCTTGAAGTTTGGTAATTTTGAGCTATTTTAAGTACAGCGCGGTGTTCTTCATTTTTTATTGCTCTTAATATCAACTTATCGGCAGACGAGTGCTTTCAAGTGGTGCATTTAGTTTTTCGCTATCCCTAATTATAAGGAAGATATCAGCATCAGCTAACAAAGTAGATAGGAAATTACGGGTAAAAGTTTGTTGCTGGGAGGTTTGTTGCTATCGTCGCACGGGTGGTGATTTTAACTTACCTAATATTGTATGGAGTTCACCTCGAGGTCGCTTAGTTCCTTCCGGCGGCTCCGACCCACGTTCAAACGATTTTCTTACAGTTTTCTCTTACTGTAATTTCACACAATTTAATACCATAGTTAACTGTAATAGTAGAACTTTAGATTTGATTTTGTGTAATTCAGCCGCGGTGACATCTGTGCACTCATGCGACGATGCACTCGTTGACCTCGATAATCATCATCCCGCTTTAGAATTTTTATACCAGTCTAACCGCTCGCACTTTTTCCGTAATGGTCCTTCGTTTACTTTAGTTTTTAGTCGTGCTGATTATAATGGAATAAAAAATGCTCTTCTCAGTGTAGACTTGAATGAGTTATTTAATGGTATCGAAGTAAATCTATGCGTAACTAAATTTTACAGCCAGTTGAACCGAATTATTAATGATTTTGTCCCGTGTCTCACTTTTAGTAAACACCGCTACCCTAGTTGGTATTCCAATTCTACAATTAAAGTAATTAAAGAAAAATTAAAATTTCATAAGAAATGGAAAAGATTTTCTTTCTTTCAAAGTATTACGTAGAAGGTCTACGACATTGATCTCGAGTGATTATAAATCATACTTAACCAACATGCAATCTACTTTGATTGATTTTCCATCGCAACTGTGGTCCTACGCAAAACATAAAAAACATTGTAGCAACAGTTGCCAGGTATTTTCTTAGCGACATGTGCCTCCGAACTTGCTAAACCGCTCTTCATTATCTTCAGTCGCTCATTGCCTCAATCAGTATTTCCATTGGAGTGGAAAAAAGCGTATATACTTCCCATCTATAAGAGTGGAAGTAGAAATTCTATTTCAAATTACCGCCCTATTTCTATTCTTCCTATTTTATCTAAGGTTTTTGAAAAAATTGTTTATGATAAAATATACCTTTCAATACAATCGCTTGTTATGCGGCAGCAACATGGTTTTCTTCGCGGCCGATCTGTAGAATCCAATCTCGTATCTTATATTAATTACATTCAAACTTGTCTGAATGCTAAATCACCAGGTCGACGCTGTTTACACTGATTTCAGTAAAGCCTTTGACAAATTGCATCATGGAGTACTCCTGACCAAATTGCAAAAATATGTCCTGACTGATGGGTTATTAGTGTGGTTGGCGTCTTATGTCTCTGACAGATGCCAGGCTGTAAAAATTAATAATTACATATCTAACTTTATTCCGGTAACTTCAGGAGTGCCTCAGGGCAGTCACTTGGGTCCGGTTCTGTTTGTGGCTTATATAAACGATATCTACGAGTGCTTTCACCATAGTAACTTTTTGCTATATGCCGATAATTGTAAAATATTTTCCAAAGTTGAATCTTCTTCTGATTGCGAAAAACTTCAAATGGATCTTAATCGTTTGCAAACCTATTGTACTCATAATTATCTCTTTCTAAACTATGGTAAATGCAGTCAAATGACGTTCACCAGAAAAAGATACACTATAAATCAAAACTATAAGCTTGGACCCGGACCTTTAAGTGTTGTCTAAGGTAAAGGATCTTGGCTTAGTTGATAATTAAGTTTATTGCTACAAACTCAGCATTACATTCCACAAACAATTAAATTTTAACAATACTACAATTACATATATCACATTACAATACAATACATTTTATTTCCTATCCCACCCCTCCCCATCTCCTCCCCGCATCTCCCTACGCTGCCTTGTCGCCACCACCTCCCTCATCCATTCTCTTCCCTCTGCCCTCTCCTCCAGCACCTGCTTCCAGCCGATCACCTCCTCTCTTAGCTCGTCACACTCCCTCAGTAGGTGCTCCAACGACTCCTACTCCCCCCCACATAGCCTACAACCCCTCTCATCACCTCTCATCCAATACCTATTCGTTCTCTCCTCATTGCCGCATCTGAATCTTGCCACCATCCTCTTCCCCTCCTCATCCCCCTCCACCGACAGGTACTTCGGCAATCCCTCCGTTATTATTTCCTCGTACTTAGGGTTGTACCTGCTCTCCCTTATCTGCCCCCTTCTTTCTTGCCTCTGTACATCTTTATCCCTGCTCTCCAGCTCTTTCCACATCTCAATCCCTTCCCTCCTTCTATCATCTACCGCTTTCACTGAGTACCCCACCCTTCAGGATCTTGGCTTAGTGCTCGATTCTAAACTATTGTTCTTATACCACGTAGAGGAACTTATCAGTAAGGCGAATAGGAGCTTAGGTTTCATTATTAGAATGTTAAATTCATTTACCAATCTACAGTGCATCAAATCTTTGTACATGGCTTACGTAAACAGCATTCTTAATTTTGCTTCAGTTGTATGGAATCCTGCGTATGCTGTGTACATTGACCGCATTGAGGCCTTACAGGTCAGATTTGTGCGTTATTTGGCTCACAAATTCGCATTGCCTTATTGCTCCTACGAGCAAAGATGCACTGTATTCGGTTTGCGTACACTGCGCGGCCGTCGAGCTGCTACGGATTTGCTATTTTTGTTTAAACTAATGAACGGTTTTGTTGACTCGCCAGAACTTGTGAGACACATTCCTCTCTTAATTCCTAGCTATCCCACTCGAGATCAATGTCTTTTCCGATTGCCCGCTTCTACTACCAATTGCCATTACAACTCACCTTTACCGCGATTGATGCACTCTTACAATCGTCATTGTTCGATGTGTGATATGTTTTATTCCTCGTTGGCGTCTTTCCGCAGGAGTGTATTAAGTTTGAATATCTGTGTAATTCGAGTTCAATCTGGCTTGTATTATTAATTAGGAACACTATTTTTTGTTTTTGTTGTTATATCTAGAATTAGTTATTTATTTTGCTATTTTGTTTTCGATTTTGTTACATGTTGATTTCTTTTTTTTTTGTTGTTTGTATGATTTCTTTTAGTGGATACTACTATGGGGGAAAACCCTGTTTATTCGTATCTCGAATAAATAAATAAATAAATAAATAAATTGGACAGTTTGATTCATATGCATTATGTATGATATTGTTTAGTTGAAAAGAGGCTATTTCAAGATTCTCTCTACTTTCAATATTTGTTCTGATTTCGTCGACCTCTTCGCTGTCCAGTCTATCATACTTCTTCTGGCCTGTTCACTCATCAATATACCCAGTCCATTGGCTTCATTTTTTCCTTCTTCGTTCCTTGAATAGGTTAGGATTTTGCCACAAGCTGTTATCTGTTTTCCTTGTCCATGCCATCTCACTTCGCTAAGTCCCAGCATAAACAGTTTATAGGCCTCCAGTTCGGTTGCAACTTGAGCCAGCCGTGTCACCTCCAGGGTGGTACAAGGGGCCAACTAACATCCAATGGGCCCAATTGCTAACCTCAAATGCAAACGCAGTGGTTTACATTCCACTCGGCGCACCTTGCTACATAACTAACTGTACAGCCGGATGGATCCACAGTTAACCACCCTTGATATATAAAACGTGGAACATTAGAATTATAAAATACTAAATAATACTTTTTGTTCTAGGAAATTGTTTAAAATGTTATCAATGCAACAGTCACGTAAACAGCACTTGTGGCGAAGAAAAAGTACCAGAAAGCTTTGCAATGGAGTGTCCAAAAAATGGAAAAACTTACATTCTTTGTCGTAAAATCAAACAAGTTATCGATTTCGAAGTTAACGGATGTAAATAATTAAATACTTATTTTAAAATGATTTTATTTAAAATCATCGCATTTTTTTAGTACCCCCAGATAGTAGAATTATAAGATCTTGCGGTTGGGATGATAAAAGCCACTCGGATAAATGTTATCAACGATCCGGGTTTGGTGGAAGACAAGAAGTTTGCTCGTGCAAAGATGAAAATTGTAACGGAGCACCAAAAATGAATGTTTTCGCGCCAATTTTGATCATAATCGGTGTCTTTTTTAGCGTCATTTAAAGCCGTTTTATTTTTGTAATCGTTATTAATTAATTTTTAGATTGTAAGAATTGATTTATTGAGCAAAGTATGAAAATTAAACAGTCATTAATATTTCAAAGTCTTGACTAACATAAGTTCCCCCATTATTCCACCACACGTACAAATTATTGTATATGCTGGTAGGTGGCACAACTTTTCCTATTTTCCATTCGTTTTCATGGTAAATTTTTCCAATGTACAATTTTCCGTCGGCTTGATGTCCACCGATGATGCACTGATGAAGAAATTCGTGATCTAATTCACCCATATTAACAGCTTCCCATTGTAAAGATTGCGGTTCTGAAGTGCATAATAGCTAATAAAAATTAATAAGTATTACTAAATTATGTATAAATATTAAATAAATTTATTTTAATTTACTTTGAAGTTGTCATCGAATTCTTTTTTCCCGTCGTATTCGGCTACAACAATTTTTTTGCTCGGATAAAAAGTTCCCGTCATTAATGAATTATTATAAACAACTTGGGCAATATATGTGTTATAACCTGTTGAGTATGCATCTGAAGGAATCGTACCTTCGTAATCTCTCCAATATACATCAGCACCTAAAAATAATTATTTAAGTTTAATTAAATAAATAAGTAAAATATGATTAGCTCACCTTTAACGAAAATTTCTTGTTGAGAAATGAACCCAACAAAAATAAATAAATAAATCGTTAAAAATCGCGACATTTTACGGAAACGAGTTAAACTCAATCAAAATTTATACGAACCCCTCTTATATACTATTTTTAAGTGTTTTAAGTAAACACTTGAATTTTAATAGATACTATCTTTTAATGAAATAAATACTTAGAAATGTAAAAGTAATTAATTTAAAATAGTTTAAGTAAATAAACACTCAATTTAATTTATCTAATATTGATACGGCCGTGAACTTGACACTCATTTTATAATTTTTAATTTTTTTAAATATACAGGGTGTTGCAAAAGTCCGATATTTCGTGATAAAAACAGAACGGAAACACACAGAGACATGAAATTTGGCATGAATTTTATTCAATCATTAACAAACAACAATATACAGGTGACCAAATAGGCGTGTAAGATGGTCCTAGTGTTTGTTCCAGAGACAGGACGTCGCGCCTTTATTTCTTTATGTATGTAAGATAGAGGCGCGACGTACTGTCTGGACCGCACTATCTTTTCCGATTGGACGAAACCCCCCTCTTCCCGTAGAGCTTATTTCTGTTACTTTTATAATTCGCTTAAAACGCTTTAAAAAAAATTAGAGAGACATAACTTTGAAAAACTGATAACGGTATCTGATAAACGCAATTATTTGACATATTTTGGTCAAATCTGCGATGAAATCCATTCAGCCGTTTTCGACATAACGGCGTTCAACTAAATCGTGATTTTCCACGAAACTATATGAAATATACAGGGTGATTCAAAAACCCGCTGACAGACTTATAGGGCAGGTAATACATCAAAAATTAAGGTGAAAAGTCTTAATATACATGGGGTCGCAAATGCCTCCTTAACGAGATATAGCGGGTCAAAGTTTCTTTAAAATTAAACATTATCTGCAATAAAAAGCCCTTTTTTAAAAATATTTTCAACTCCACTGCTAATTTTGTCAAACGGGCAGTATTTTCGTGTAAAGTGATCAATTATCTATCAATTGGTCTCTTACAAAACTTTGATTAAAGCAACAGTTTTTGATTGAATTAACAAATTTTCTACAAACGTGTTTTTCTTAAAAACTATTGCTTTGATCAAATTTTTGTAAGAGACCAATTGATAGAGAATTGATCACTTTACACGCGTAGAGAGCTTAAACTGTCGCAATTTTTTTTTTATCGAGCGGTTGCGAAGATATCGATCTCTAAAGTGAGGGGCCTTGACTTTTTGTACCGATAGTATACTATCGGTAAAACGTATAGTGTGTTCATAGAAAAAGAACAAGTATTCGAAACACCATGCCATTTAACTGCGATGGAAGTGGCCTTCGGATTGTTTTATATTTTAAACTTAGAGTATCCACAAGAAAATATGGGAAAACGAAGGGTGATATCTCTCATTAATAAAATAAAAGATTTGTAATATCATTGTTCACGCTTTCATGTAGCCAATATAGATTAATATAGATGTTACGGTAATAGTATAATCTCAACCAATGTATACTTTCACTGGGAGCTATGTTCAGTCAAGTATACACAAACCCATCAGAATAGAACCAACACATAAGTTATACTTCATCAACTTTGTTATTTTAAATGGAACATCCTATATATTATTGCATTTTTGGATTCTTTTCGAAATTTCAATGGTACTTTGTTAAGGATACCTTAGTCTAACTGGTACCGTTTTTGAATTATATGACGATTTAAAAAAAATGACATTTGCAGCGTCTTATAAATTTGGTAACATTGCCGAAGCTGTGAAAGCTAGAAATATTTGGTTTTCTATTTTGGATTAACAATAAAAGAACACACGTTTGCTAATAGAAAATTATACATTTATATTACGGAGTTCTTAAGTAGGGATCTATAATTTTCGAACTTTTTAATCATGGATAACTTATTTTTTTTAAATGGAACAATATACTAGTTTTTGCATAACTGGATGTAAAATTTAACTTCCTTTCAGTTTTATACAGGTATCATGGTATCTATCTTCAACGGTTTTGGAGATATTCCCGATTTTTCAGTTTTTAACGATACACAGGAAAAAATCGTGTCGTGTAAAAATTTTAGAGTAGTTGGTAACAAGAATTAGAATAAAAATTGTAATACCACATGATAAAAACAACTCTAATGTACACTATATTTAATATTAATATAGAGTTCATATATTATTCACTTAATAGAGTAGTTTTTACAGTTCTCTAAAGGAGAGTTCTTTTTTACTTATGTTAGTGAAGTTATGTAATATATAAAACATTAAATTTTACACAAGACGTGTAAACTGTACTTTTCCTTCAGGTACTTCGTAGGCACCGCACTATTTTACTCGGTCATCTACTGAACGGGTCGGAACTCGATAGCGTCTCGAGACCTGATTTACGCGATATAAAAAGAAAGAACGATTATTTTTATTTTAATTATGTTTGCCAACATTTGTGTTGTGAAATTAGTGGAACTTCCGGAAGATTTTACGTACGAGTTCCTTGCGAAGAGTGGTAAGTATGGAGTGCGGGAAGTTAGCCCCCCATTTTTGGAAATATCAGATTTTCTTTGTTGTTCTCGGCTGTTCTAGATGTTCTAGTTATTGTTCTAGAAAATCAAAATTATGGGATACATCATTACGAAGTTATAACTAAAAATAGGTTTGGCTGCCAAAATATCTAGCTGATTACTGTGACCATAGTTTTTCTATTTTCAATTCCATATTACAAATATATACTTGTTATACCTAAAGCAATCTGGAACAGCTATTATTTTCATTAGAACAACTCTATAGAGGATACTTTACTCTGTATGTATGTATGTAGTTTCACGTAGGGGTGAGTTACTCACAGCACTTAGGCCCCAGCGGACCCTTTGTACGTCCCCACAATTTACTGTTCATTCAAGGGTCAGAAAACCAGCCCAATCTTTTCATGAACGTTAATATAGAACAGAAAGGTATGTTCCTTATATCCGAAATTTGGAGCCATGGTACTCCGAAAATAGATTCTCTTAAGTACGCGAGGTTTGGACAGTCACAAACAATATGACTTACCGTCTCGTCTTGCATTTCACACCCTCTACAGAAGGGTGTATTCGCCAGCTTCATGTAAAACATGTGCTTACGTAACCTGCAGTGTCCGGTCAGGAAGTGGGTGAGAAGCCTCAAGTCACTTTTCGATTTTCCCAGAAACTGAGATGTCTTCCGGTCAGGGTGGAGCAGAGTTTTCTTAGCAAAGGCACCCACTGCTTTTCCATCCCATCTATCGCAAAAAGCTCGGTGGGAGATGGAGTTTATCAGTTTTGATGCTGTATTAAGAGCTAGTGGTACCAACGGTTCAGGGGAGATCGGTGACTTGTTAGCCGCCCTGTTCGCATGATCATGTCCTTTAATTCCGATGTGTCCTTTTCGCCATTTTATCGTGACGTTGTTGTATACGTTTGCCTCTTCGAGTGATTGCCGACAGGACTTCACCAACGATGATGCAGTATAATGCCTGCCAAATGCCAGCATAGCCTGTCTGCTATCAGTACAGATTACAACGTTTCTGCCGACTTTTTTAGAGTCGATAATCTCATCGGCTGCTATGTTTATAGCAATTAATTCGGCTTGAGCAGTCGTGCAATACGATCCTAACGAAGTGGAAAGGTGGAGCTGGAGATCATGCGAGAAAATTCCCGCTCCGGAACCTCCAGCCTTCTTTGATCCATCAGTGTAGATGGTCAGCGTTTTGCCCGAGCTTGAGTTGCTCTGGGGTATCGTTTCAATGCCAAAGTGTGGCTTGCCTAAGAAAGTAGGTATAATGTAGTCTGTGGTAGCTTTAAGGAGGGGTTGTTTACTAACAGCCTCACTCTAGAGCTTGCTCCGGACTATTCCCATTTTAACAACCTGCTTTTCATTTACTGATCGCAACCGAAGCAATGTCATCACGGCCACCTCCCTGATAAAAATATCTAGGGGCAGCACGTTTAGCATAGTCTCCATTGCAATTGTAGGTGTAGATCTCATAGCGCCTGTGATTAGCAGGCAGGCCAGTCGTTGCAATTGTTGCAGCAATGTAGCTTTATATGCATGTTTTAGTGCTGAGTACCAAACTATGGCTCCGTGAGCTACCATGGGTCTTATCACAGAAGTGTAGATCCACATCGTAACTTTCGGATTTTAATCCCCAAGTATTCCCAATAGCCCTTCGGCACTGGGTCAGTACAATCGTTGCTTTTTTGGTTTTGCAACTAATGTGTGATGTCCAAGTTAGTCCTTTGTCCAAGATAACACGCAGATATTTCACTTCTGGCGTAAAAGTTAATGGATAATTACAGAAATTGGGTTGAGTTTGTTTAGTGAAGAGAACAGTCTCAGTCTTTTTAGGATTGACAGAGAGGGTATGTTCTTCACACCATCGTTCAACGAGTTTAAGTGCCTGTTGCATTCTGTAACAAAGAAAATTGTCAGGTTTTCCTCTTAACAAGATAGCCACGTCGTCTGCGTAACCGACTGTGAAAAGATATTTATTATTTAACTCACGAATGAGATCATCAACTATTAAGTACCAGAGAAGCGGTGAGAGTACCCCACCTTGTGGGCAATCCTTAACCACAGCTCTCTGTACTGTGTGTCCTTCCGCCTTAGTCTGAACAACTCTGCTTACTAGCATTGTTTTAATCCAGCCCGCGATGACCGATGGCACTCTTCGAGATTCCAGTCCCAGGTTAATGCTACTAAGGGTGGTTTTGTCAAACGCT